TTCACAGAGATACTGTGCTAACCGCTGCACAGTAATTATCCAAAAACCTTTGCAACTCCTGGTTGCTAAGTTAACCAGGCTAAATTCAGATTTACAAAAAAAAGGCAGGGTTGACATTTGACTCCTGCTTTTTATATGAAAACTGTAAAACTAGAATTTCTTTGTGAAAGGATTTGATTTTATTCTGAAAGTGAACCCTGAGATCATCAGTGTGTTTGCATTGACATTGATTATTCAATATTGAGTCACAGAATAACCCAGAAATCATTGAGTTAAAGAGCAGATAAAATACTGTACACCATCTGTGTATTCGATTCTTGTAAAGATTTCTCATTTTTGAGCATTAGTCCACTTTACTAAAGAGTACTTGTTGTCATGTGGATAATTTAGCCACAATATTACTTCAGCACTACCTTAGCTGAGTCATCTCTTTCACTGCAAACACACTGATGATCTTTTTTTTTTTTTTCTTACTTGCACAGTAATGACACCTAAGCTGTTTCCTGACATCTTTTGAACTTGAATATTACATGGGAAAAAAATGAAAAAGAAATGAGACAATGCTGGGGGAATATTAGGGGAAAAAAATATGTTGCGGGAAAAAAAGCTTAATGGCATCGAATACTGTATTTAAATGTTAATAATAGGCTATATTATAATCAGAGACTCAGACACCTTGTATCATATGTTCTTATTTAATTTGTTAGAGTAATAAAGCCTTTAGAATAAATCTGGTTGGTGCTCTGTTTTATTGTAACATTGGGAAATGTTTTGAATGGAGAAATTCCCAGTATTTGTCAATGACGTTCAGCGATTTTGACGCAACGTGTGCTGCAGCGACGTGACGCCCCCGATCAGCAGGCGGCGCTAATTCTTCACAACGCCTCCAAATCTTCCGGAAGACGCTACGGAAGGCGCGCCGTACTGGAAGCGAATCAGGTGAAGTTTTTATTTTCAGCTTAAATTATGAAGAAGGAAAAAAAATAAAAGAAAAATATAATACAGTTGGAACAGGATACAGTTGGAACAGGCGGCGCAGCATTTAGCTAACAAAGCAAACAACCTAGCTTCACTATGGCGCCGAGTGTGAAAGTAAACGTTTCTAACTGTCTTTCTTGTTTTTACTTAACGGAGTTGGTGAAAAATGGACCAAATGTAACGTTTTTTCTTAGTATTGTTTACTTCCAACAAGTTGTGGGTCAACAACTTGATCAGTCTCCTGTGATTCAGTAATATTTCCGAAAGTACATTTAAAGATATTGCCCACACTTCATAATTTACTTCAACAATCAATTAATTAATTAATTTAGCGATCCTTTCGTCACAAGTACAAAACCTCTGAACAGAATTGCTGAGTTTGTCGAGGTTTTAAACCTTTTCCATATTTTTTTTATGCCAGAAGTACACTTATTAGTGGATATCGTAGCTAATTTATTGCTTACACTGATATAAAGTACTTGTCTAAATGTGTTTCATTACAGTTACACATACAAGTCTTTTTGGGGTATGTCACTTCCAGATTTACACACCCAAATGAAGATTTCTCTTTTTTGTGTCACTTAGCTCTGTAAAAAAGCTCTAGCAGCTTGACTGGAGAGTGTCTTTGAACATAAAATCCTTCAAATTCAAGTCCTTCCACAGATTAACAATTACATTTTGTCTTGCTTGGTACTTGGTCGTTCTAACACATGAATTTGGTTCAAACTAGGGGTTTGAACCAAAGTGCAGCACAGGGTCCATTTCTGGCCCTTTCAGTGATTTTGTGCTGCCCGCTTGAGTGACATTTCCACTGACGATTTTAAAATGGAAATTGTTGGTACAGTGTATTAAATCCCCATGACTATATCAGTATTAATCATTTAGATGCAGTATTTGGTAGGCTATAATATTGAGGGCCATGCTTTAAAATTCAGCTTGCGACAATAAATTTGGACACTTGAATGTAAAAACAGAACATGTGCAGTTTCTATAATCACGGCTTCTCTGTCAGGAAACATGTCGAGACTGCTGGGAGACAGCCACCGGAGGTTTCTACAGACCCTGATGGCCGTTGGCATCACTGACGAGCAAGAAGCAAGGGCACTTTATCAGCACTGCTGTGACACACACAAGAGTGAGTAACTTTTCTACTTTTATTAAAAAAGAGAAATTATAGACAAGTGCTGGTCCAAAAGTAACAAGAAGCATAATTTCTCCAACCATAGGTTCAAAATGTTCATATCAGGAGGATTATGTGTTGTAATTTCAACCCCTAATCGGGTTGAAAATATTAAATGAGATCCAAAAGGAAAATTTATACTATGTTTTTTAGATGATGCGATGAAAAGTAGAAATGTAACATCTAACATTAGTTGATCTGTCTTGCTTGACTTTTAGCAGCTGATATCCAAAGTGAAGCAAAAAACATCATGAAATAAACAGTTAAGTCTCAGAAAAAATAGTTTTCATTTATTTTTTTAACTTTTTTTTTTTTTTTTTGCAGTGCCGTGTACTCCTGACAAACTGGATGAGTTCATTGAAGCCATCAACTCCAGGCTGCAGCCCATGTTCATGCAGATCAGAAAAGGCATGTCTGAGGAAAATGGCCATCAGTACTATGCCTTGGTCAGTAATTTTTTTGCTTCAGAAACATATGTGCTGGTAAAAGGCCACTGATTTTATTTGTTTTATCAGATTGAAAATGTCACAACCTCTATGATCCTCTGCAGGTCAACATGGCAGAAACCGATATCACTAGGATGACGTCGGATTACACCGACAACGAACTGGAGCTGTTCAGGAAAACGGTGAGAGAAGTCTACTCACCTTTAGCTCCCAAGTTTAAAATGAAGGAACTAAATGTAAATGGAATATCATTTGTATTGAAAGTATTTTTAAGCATCATGTAGTATCCGCTTACTGGGTGGGTGAGAATTGAACTTATTTAGGGGTCTTGTTTAAACCCAGAAATGTATTGTGAATCTTGTCTAATCCAGCTGGACCTAATTGTTAGCTCTGAGAACGGGACGGCTTCCTCCACAGACATTCTGAACAGCACCGACACCATGACCTCTAAAAAACTGAAGAAGAGTGAAACAGAGCACCTTCTGACTCGACTAGTGCAGGACAAGTGGCTTTGCGAGGTAAAACACTCTGTCTTTCTGCTTTGGTTGGTTTGTTAAACAATTTAGCAACACCAGGGCGTTCATGCCTCCTTAAAATGTCTTAAATTCATTGGAACAAATGTAAGTTGGGCCTTAAGTAAACTAATAACAGGTCATACATTTTGTCATAGCTAGATTATTCAGTCTTGTATGTAGTTTTTTTTTTTTTTTTAATGGAATTTTCTGTCAAGGTTTTGAGTCGTGCAGACATTGCATTTTGATTAGAGGCTATTGATAACTAGCTGCTAGCTAACTAGCTGGCTGGACTATTGCATCCATTATGCTATGTACTAATGGATGACCTGTTGGCTGAATGACATTTGTTTTTGCCACTTGCTCACTTCTTCTGCCAGTCCATTTGAGCAGATTTCCCCAATCATCATAGCTTATTTTTCTGTTTAATTTAATTCAAGCTGGCATTAAAAAGTCTTAGCCTCGACTTGCTAAAATATGCAGATTCCCGGTATACACTACTGCCCGTATGCAAGCTTTAATTATGTTTCAGTAAGCTGAAGCTTTGGCCTGAAACTTGTTTCATTCTGGTACAGGATGCATAGTTTTTAATTAGTTTCTTTTTCTTACCATTCTTCTTTGCAAAATAACTTGAAATCTGTCGGATTTAATGAAGAGTTCATGTAAACATCAACCTAACCGTCGTTTTAGGTTGATGTGCTGATGTCTTGGTAGGCTTTCCAGTCCAAGATGTTGACTTGATCGGTGTTCTTTGAGATCGTCTCCTAATCTAAGCTGTTTTTCCACAATATGTATGGTTTCTTCATGATGCTGTTGTTCATTAGTGTTCCATAAAGCACATTGATATTTGGGACTGTTCAGTCCTGTGTGTCTGGTTTCACCTGTGGCTGATTTCTGAACCTAGAGACGTGGGGAGTACACTCTGTCCACTCGATGCATCATAGAGATGGAGCCGTATATTCGCACAATGTATCAAGACCAGGTCAAAGTGTGTCACATCTGTCACAACATCGCCTTTCAGGTAATTAATTTTTTTTTTTTTATATATATTATACCATACCACTGCACTGCCCGCCCAAAACTATTTTTTTAATATATTTCAAAACAGAAATACAATGTACTCTGCTTGGACAGTTTCTCTTTCCTGTTTTGGTATGGCTCCGCCATCTTTATAAGTGGTTTTCTGAAAGCTATACAGCATTTTAGTCTCAATATCTTCAATTCCCTTCACATTATGCTTATGGAAATACTTTGACTTTCGCTGTTGAGGATTTTGGGGGATTTTTTTGGACAGACTGTGTATAATTAATGAACTCTCTATAAATGCCTAATTCAGTTCAGTTCTTAGTTTTATTCAATTAATTCCATGAAGTAATAACACATACCAAATAAATCACAAGCTTCCCTTTTTATAAAAAAAAAAAGCTTTAAAACTAATTCAAACAGGTACAGTGTGTAATGCTTTGTTGTTCTTTTCTCTTTAACCAAAGTGCCAGATTTGTGAGAATCCCTCCTGTGGAATAAAAATCCACAACCCGTGTGTTGCCAGATACTTCAAAGGAAGAGTGGAGCCACGCTGTCCAGCTTGTGACGACTTTTGGCCGCATGAAATCCCCGGTACGTATTAAACATCATGATATCAAAATAATATATTATATATCTATTGAGGCGTTTTGCTTCATATTTGGGAAACAGCACTGCATCCTATGCATTTTATTTTGCTGGTTTTTCAGAAAACGCTTTTTAAACATAATAGTACAGATATAGAAAGACAGTGTAAGCACTCAGTGTTTTCACTAAGCTTCATACTCTTTGCTCTTCTTTTGCAGAAGTAAGAGGGCTCCGTTCTCAGTCCAAGAGATGATATCAGCGTTGCTGTTTTTGTTTTTAACAAAATGTTGTTATAACCTCTGTATTTAAACATGCTGTATATTTCCTCCTGTTTATGCAAATAAATTGGATTTTGTTTTTATTGTATCTTGTTGTCATTTACACACATTCAAATAAAATCATGATTTCTAAGAACTTTTTAAATGTCTTTTGTAATATCTTTATTAGCTTCGTTCAGGTCAGTTGAACTATTGTCAGTTCCCATTTTCTTATAAGTCTGTTTAAATTCCTTAAGAAAGGCTATTTTAAATAATATATGAAAAGGTGATGCTGACAAATATGCAATATTTACAATTTTGTGAAAGAAGTCAGTAATCATACAAGCAAAAACACAAGATACAATAATATTAATCCATGATAAGAAGTGATAAAGTGCTTTTTTGGGTGGAGGTGTTGACTTTCTCTACTTTGTTATTTTGTCCTTTTAAAAATCTCATGGAGATTAGAATATTTACAAGGCAATTTGAAAAAAAAAAATAGATCAGCAATATCGCTGGGGAAGAAAGTCACACCGACCCAGTAAACTCTTTTCTTGTTCCTTTAAAATTGACTTTTAGTTTTGCCATGGCAACCAGCTCTGACAATTTTAGATCGTTTTGTAAATTATTCCAGGATGTAGATGTTTTCTTCTGACTTTCCAGCTGCGTTCAGAGAGAGCAGACCACCAAACAAAGACAAAAAGCTTCAGAAAACAACTGCTTCCTCACCTGGAGCAAGAAATGAGACCAGTTTCTGAAAAGACAATACTTCAGTTTGGTAAAGAAAGGCAACTCAGTTCTTACATTCAACCAGTTTTCTTTATTAGTAAGCTTTCATTAGGTATGAATGCTACTCTAAATTTGTTATTTTACATTTTTATTGAAATAGATGCTGTCTTAGAAAACGCATTGTAAATTTTCACAACAGTTTCAAAGAATCTAAACAACGTGTCAAACTCAAGGCTCTGGGACCAAATCCTAAATATTACTTCATCAATCAGAGCATTTTCTGTCAAATTACATTATTGTGAAAAGTTGTTCAACATTATTTAATTTTAAGAAGTACTCATTGAATGCAAAAGCAGGTATTTAATATTTCTTTATAATTTCTGCCATTCTGAGGACATTCATGATCTTGATATGGCACAAAATGAAGCGTCTCTGATCTAAACTGTTTAATGTGAACTAAATATTGTGTTAACTTTGCTTTCTATATCTATCTGCAGATAACTTTCTTATCAGCTGGACAGTGTTAGGTCAAATGTAGAGGTGAGATGGGAAAATTATAGAAAACCATTTAGCATTATCTTAAGTCAGTCACACAACAGTATCTTCAGTCAGAAGCTTCTTCAGATTCGCTGTAAAACGGACTGCTACAGGAGATCTGTCCAGCCCACAGTTTATACAACAACTCTGAAGAAGTTTGAATAATTAAAACATTTAACTTCCCTTTGAGTTGAATTGAACATCTTTGTTAAAGCATGTTTGTCTGAGAGCAGTCATGTTTTAGGATCTTCAAAGTCACAATTAAAGAAATGCTTTTTCTGAACCAGGGATAGAACAAGGCGTATACGAGTGGATTCAAGCAGGAATTAAAGTACACCATCCAGGACACAATGGCCCAAGACGAGGCGCTGTTAGAGGTGTCTTGACCTGCGAGAGACGGGTAGTAATACGGACAGAAAGTCACCAGAAACATGAATATAATAATGCCAAGAGTCCTGGCTGCTTTCTGCTCGGATTTCTTCGCCGTGACCCTGACCGTGACGGCTGTAACGTGAGAGCGCGTGGCCCGGGCCTGCGACACCGCCTCCACAAACACTCTCATGTACAGCAAGACGATGACCGAGCAGGGCGCGACAAAGGTGAAGAATAGGTCTATGGTTCCGGAGATGTAGCTGATGACCACCAGGCACTCCCCGTAGCAGGAGTTGTACCTGTCCGGCTGCCTGAGGTGCTCTTTTAGGATGAGGCCGTTATAGAGGAGAGAGCAGGCCCAGCACAGGCTCACCGACACCTCCGCTCTGCTGCGAGTGATTTTACTGGAGTACTGCAGGGGGAAACATATGGCCACGTAGCGGTCTATTGATATGAGCACCATGTTGCCCACGGAGGCCGAGGTGAGCGTGAAGCCGACAATGTAAGACAGGGCGCACATGACGTCGCCCAGCAGCCAGCAGGGCTCGATGAACCGCACTGCTTCCACCGGCATCACCACCAGCCCCACCAGGAGGTCTGAGGTGGCCAGGGACAGCACGAGGGTGTTGGTCGGGGTCTGCAGCTGCCGGAAGTAGGAGATGGAGATGATGACCAGCAGGTTCAGAGCGACGGTGACCACAATGACGGAGGAGAGCAGCGTGTACAGCAGGACGGACTCGGAGGGAGGTCGCTTCGGACCGCTGCAGGAGCTATTTGGGTGCTGGGGGTAGCAGAGTTCAACTCTGTCTGGGTTGTCCATCTGTCAGGATGGAGTTCACAAAGCTTAAAGACCTCTCTCACTCTGCTTCTTTTTATCCCTTACTAAGCTCCTTATTCTCAGCTGCATCTCTCTGCTGCACTCCCTCCTTTACATTTCTCTGCTCTCTCATTGTTGCATCTACCTCCTATTACCCTTTTCCCCCTTCACTTTTCCTCCTCCCTTCCTCTCCTCTTCCATTGTCATCATTGTATGATGCAAGGTTCTGTGTTTCTTGTCATCACTAAACATCTTAGTTGTGATGTCCAGCACTTATGTCTACACCACATTACAGATAAAAAAACAAAGCTTACATGCCCCTGTTAATATGACAGGTTTTTATGATTGTTTTCTTTTGTGTGGCAGCTGGTATGTTTTTATTTGTTCAAGGCTGGGTTTTCTGTTTTTGTGTTAAAAATGCAAAAATAAAGGAAATACTAATAAAATTCAAGTGTCTTTGTAGGGGTTTGTCACCTCCTTTTGATGAAGTCATAATTTGCAAAGATTATAAAAATATCAAAATAAGCTATTTTTTTCAAAATGATCAGGCAAGAGACAATTGCCAAAAAGGCTACAGGTTAGTACAGTTACGTGAAAAAAATGAGAATATATATATACATATATATATCTCAGACTGTCTGTGCATCCTTAAAAAATGATGGTTTTAAAATGTCAAATTAATTTTTAAAAGTAAGTTGTCCTTTAATATGTTAATCACAGGTCTCATTTTGTCTTGACAGGACTGTTTAATCTCACTGGACTTTTCTATCAGGCAAAAGTTTGAGTATAAGCCAGTGTGTACTAATTTATTCGTCTCCTACAAAGTGTATTTTTGTTAAATGAATAAAACATTTTAGCTTAAGTGCAAATAAACGACTTTTTATTCTTTTAAAGTGTGTCCATATTTCTCCTGCCCTTGTCTTGTTAGTGGTTTGCTCAGACGTAGTTCAGCTGTGCTTTCAACCCAACATGCAGTCGTGTGTGAATCCATTTTGCAGTGCTGCAAAAGTAGATGGATGCACATAAAATGCAAAGTGAATTCCCTTATGTGTTGCTTTTCCTGCAGTGGACCACCACATCCTTCTCCATCGCTCAGAGCACCTTGCATGGCTTACTCACACTGTTTCGGAGTGATTCTGATCATATTTGACAAACAGATCTGACTTTGTCTCCATTAGCCGTGTCAGCTCATTGACCCACTTTGTTTCCTGTGGTGTGCCCCAAGGATCAGTTGTGGGACCCCTTCTTTTTTATTTATACTTGGTGCCATTTGGGTGCATGATCAGCAGCTGTGCAGCATCATTTCATTGCTATGCTGATTACACTCATCTGTGCCTGATGTTGGGTTGTAATTTCTCTGGGACTCCACCGTTCTCACTCTTTCCACAGTTTCTGGCTATCTGAAGGAGATAAAAGCATTTGTGCAGCAAACCCTCCTCCACATAAGCTCTGCTAAGTTGTCCATTCCCTCAGTTCTCAGCTGTAATAACTTTATAAATAAAATTGATTATTAAAAATAAAATTATTGGCATCTTTCCTCAATTGAGGCACAATTCTGTCTTAAAGAGTGAAAGCCAACTAAAGAAAGAGACTAAAATGTGGTTAAAGCTTGTTAGGTTTGATCAAACTTATCTGAAATTCATTTGTTGTTTTTGCTATATTTGGGCAGACTGGGATGAAACAGTCCAGTTTTCAGTCTGCATTTCTGGGTGAATTACAGTACCTTGCAAAAGTATTCAACTTTCCACTATTTATCGCATTTTACCCAAAAAACTGAATTGTATTTTGTTGGAATTGTACCTGGTAGAAAGACCAAAATTTCATGTGTTGAAATTGCAACACATGACCTGCATCAACCTTCAAATAGCACCCATGTGGTAAAACATAGTGGTGGCAGCATTTTGCTGATCAGGTACAATTATTTTTGTAAAACACTGTAAAGATAATAACTGGTTGACATGAATTAGCTGTAAGAGGAACAGTGGTTGTTAATGTTGCAAATGCACAGTTTGCCGTTTCTGGTTTCATTTAAAAGTTTACAACAATCTTACAAAATGGATCATTTTTGCAGTAAAGTTTCACTTTAATAATCAGCATGCAGCATGATGAAGGTTTACACTGACCAGACGTTTCAGGCTGAAATGCCCATGGTTCAAGTCAGGACCTATATCACAATTCTCAATGTTTAAATAGAACTATAACACAGAACACACCAGTTAATGTATAATTTAGTTTTAAATCTTTAACCTTTGGCTAATTTTCATCAGATATTTTCCGATAACCGTGTGGAGACAGGTTGCATCACTTGTTGTTGTGAAAGTGTATTCATTAACACCTCAGACAGCAGATCACCAGTGGATTGATGTGTTAGCAGGAATAATTACAAACCGGCATCCCTCTGGTACGTCGAGTGATGCTTTGTTTTCCTGTATCATTTGAGGAACTGTCAGGTTTGTGTGCCTGTTAATTAGCAAGTTAGTGTTAAACATTTAAAATTAAGTACATTTCTGAAGTCATAATGTTGAGGTTGTTCATGAATGTAAACAGCGTCATAAATATTCAGCTCAGTTATTGGAAGAATAAAAGAGGACTTTCGATTGTTTTTTTTATTATTATTATTTATATTAAAAATATCATAAACCTCTGATATGACTTGTTTTTTTAAATATTAAACTTCCAATCTATATCTGTTTTATGTTATTGTATTCCCTGTCCTAAAATATGTATTTCACTTTAGTTCTCCTAAATGTATCCTCTGATTTCCTTGCAACACATGCTGTGTATTTTATATTGTTTTTTGCTCTTGAGGTGCATTTAGCTCCATTTTGTTCACCTTATTTGCTTGGTTTTTATTGATTCAATAAAGACGCTTGTTTTTTTTTAAATTTATTTTAAAGTTACATACTTTGGACTCAAAAGTCAACATCATGATGCCCTTCAAACATTGATGATGATCTCAAAGGCAGTGGAAGGCCAGCAAGTTTCACTGTTTTCAGAACATGTTTTTTCAGCGGATGGTTCACTTATTTCAGCTCTTATCCAGAAACCCCAGTGATCATAAATACTGTTAAAAGTAATTAATATAAATTTTCAACTCATGGTTAGAAAATATCCAGAGTGCTTAGTGTGCTCTTAGAGTCATTTCCGATGGTCCAAAAATCCCTATTGAAACATTTCGGTGCAGCAAAAAAAATAACACAAACAAAAAATCCCCCAAGAAATCTGTAAGTGGGCAATAATATTTAATGGCACTATACGCCATTCTCTCATGTGCTCTTTCTATAAAACTTAGAAGACCTTAAATGTTCGGGGATTATTTTTAATAACCTTGCTTTTAATAGCTTCAATCTAGCTTTAGAGTCCTACAAGATACAGAAACCACACTTGTTAAATGGACCAGTGAGCAACCCTTAATTGCCAACAGAAACATAGTTCAAGTTAGTTGTTTTAGACTCAGATGCAACATTGAGAACTTTTAGTCACAACATCCTCATCATCCAGAGTCCTGGATCACAATTAAAGACTTTGCTCTCAATATTACATCCATATGCCCCAGCTGGGCTGTTCCACTGGACTGTTTGTTTTTTTTTTTTTTCACCAAAGTGGTCCTGGTGCTAATGCTAGCACCTAGCTAGTATTGAGACCTAGATAGCTTGAACTCCCATCATTAGATCGCTACAAACATTTCATTCAGTAAATGGTGTATCCTTATGTTTCATGGAGGTTCCCTCATGAAAAGACTTCAGGATTTATGTCAGTATCCCCACAGACATGCCCTAATATCACTGGTTTAACTTAGTAACTTTATTTCAAACAATACATGGTTTTCATAAGTAATTCACAATCAGAGCTAGCGGACCTCTGTCTGACATGCTGCTCAAACAGATTTAGCTTGTGGAGTGAGATTTATAAAGTCAGGGATGCCATCTGTGGATTCAGCAGGTGTGATCATATACTCACAGCAATAAACTGTCCGATTACTCCATGTCAGGTGATATAGAATAATAGCTGGAAGGTCGGAGAAAGTTGAATCATGTTTTTAATGTTTATCTGAGTTTCTGTTTGTGTTCATTCTCAATGCTTAGGAGTTTTAAGGATCGGACTTAGAACAATTTGACTGCTTGTTGGACTCCATGAACCCAAAAACAGTATATCCGTACCGGAGTCGATGCTTCCAGTGATGGAAACAAAAAGAACTCGAGCTTAGAAAGCGCTAGCACCTGTTTAGCGCTGGAACTGACTTGGTGGAAAAACTCTTCGTAATTATTCATCCTCCATAACTCATCTAATTGGTGATGTACCTCAGGAATCATTCTCTGGTCACTTTCTGCTCTTCATTTATATATTTCCTTATGAATACATTAGATACATTATGTTAGGCCTACTTCTATACATAGTGCAGCATATTCTACTTGCCAAAAAGTCTCATATTATCTCATGAGATGAGTGATGGCTGTCTTTCACAAAAATCAACCAGTGAAACATTCCTAAATTCACTGAGAGATGCCATTCAGATGCCATTCAGTCTGTTCCCTACAAACTTTGTTTAGTTTATCTTCACATTAAGCTCATTTTTTTAAATATTCATTTGATCATGCTATCAGTGTTTTTTGTCAAATTTCACCATATTTAGTACCTCTCTGTCTTTCGATCCTATTCATGTCTAGTTATAGTTTAGTGTTTCACTGAAGTTGGAATTTTCTCTGATTCCTTTTTCTTTCATTTCTTTTTTAAGACAAATGCATAGTGAGAATAATTATTAGCTGTGCTTGTGTGTTTTGGTGAAAAAAAAATAGTGCTGTCAAATTCAATCCCTCTTCTGCTTAAGTTGTTGTGTTAGTAATCGGACGCTAGACGGCGCTGTTGGTAAAGATCTGAGTTCTGACTTGAAGAGCCACCTAACTTAAAAAAAGCTTTACTTCTTGAAACCTTATTTTTAATACACATGAATTTATGTACATTTTTTGCAATAAGAGGACTACATTTGCAACTGAATTAACTTACTCAAGCAACTTTGTTTTTTAAAAGAATCCTACTGATTTATCCATATTAGTTTACAGCATATTTGATTAGCTTACTGTTAATATTCACATTAACCGGATAATAAATTCACCACAAACACTGTAAAAAGAATTTCAATGTATATTTAAAACTGAGATATTTAAATTTAACAACAAAATGTGTCATCATGTCTGTTTTACAGCTAAGCAGATCAAAATGGCTTTTAATAAACTTGTTTATTGCTACTAACAGAGGCCACATGCATTAAATATTAAAGTATTTAACCGATCTTAATGTGTTTGCTGCTTACATCAACAGTCAGCCAAGCTAAAGAAAGATGTGACTGATCTTCCATCTGACTCGGGT